GGGGACCCATAGAAAAGGGTCAAACGTAGCCAGACCAGTCTGGGAGGAAAAGAACGCAATCAAAATCAATATAAACACTGCCATAGTCACCTCCCCATGGGTCTCTCACCCACATCTGTTTCAACCAGTCCAGAGCCAAGAAACAAGCATGGTTTCGTCACGTCTCCCTCTGCTTCACGTGGCTTCCTCAGGTCTCCTTTTGGCTCTGCATCCTGCTTCCTTCTTCAGACTTCCTTTTGCTCAGCTCTGCTCAGCTCCACCCACCTTCTGGGTGGGGCAGGGAACCTGGAACTTCCCCTTTTCCTAGCGACCACCATGTTTCAACTACACACTCTGAAGTATCAGTAGTACCGGAGCACCTACCCATGCCTCATTATACCTGTGTTCCTCATCTCTCACTGCTAAGAGATTTATGACCCAGGTATATGGGTGCCTCTACAGTTCAGAATCCCTGGCTAGGTCCCCAAGCCAAATCCTACAAAGCACAAGAACATACTCCTGTTTTGCAATGTCTTAAACAAAAAAAATCCCTTTCCAGCCTAAAGACCTCATGTTGGTCATACAGCCAAATGCGGCAGCTGCGCTATTACTTATGCATCTGACTTTTGCTTTTAGGTCCAAATATTTTGTAGCCCAGTGAATCAATAAATCTGTTTCCTTTGTACAACTGCCTTTTACTCTATTTCATTGTATACTTATAAACAGATATAATTAGAGTCTCAAAACAGTTGACTTAACAGCAATTTCATAAATTGCTGACATTATCCTTTTAAATGATGAAAGCAGTGGTTTTAACAGCTTTTGGGAATTGTATGAAAATGCATTGCAGTGTAGTACTGGAGTGCTTTTATAAAAATCCCCAGGTGTTAATCAGAGTTGAATGGATGAAACTCCTCAGTTCCTGAGACATAATACTTATTGCCCTGTGCTAGGCTCGTCACACTGGTTCGAGCCATTGCTTTTTTCCCATTCCTAGCTGCTTTCTTCCTACCTCTGCCCTTGGGTAACCCTTCCACTGTGTTCATATGCTTTTTGTATTTATTTTGAAATGTTACCACATGTGTACTGTCACTTTGATTTAATCTAAATGGTGTTCTGCACTGCATCCTTATTTCCCTTTAATCACTAACAGTTACAAGACTCATTCATGCAACTCTCTATATATCTAGCCCGGGATTGTAATGATTTTTTCAGTATTTCTTGCCTCAAGTTCTTCTCTATTCCATTACAAATTGCATTGTAGAGAGCACCGTCATACATGTCTGGCTGCAGAACTACCTGTGCCTGTCTGTTTGCAGACACAGAAGTGGAACTGGTAGGACTGAATACATGCCTGCACGTAATTTGACCAATTACCCCCGAATGACTCTGTTAGTCTCGCTTCCACAACAGTGCATATTTCTGTGTTCCTGCCAACCCTTGGCATTATCCAGCCTTCTAAGTTTTGCCAAGTCTAATAGGTATAAAGTGTAATCTCATTCTTGTTGTGATTTGCATTTCCCTGGATAATTAATGAGTCTGAGCATCTCTTTACATGTTTGTTAGCCTTTTGAGTTTCTTATTCTAGAAAATTAGCTCTTTATAGCTACTGCCCAATTTTTAAATGAGCTGGCAGCTTTTTCTTATTAGTTTGTCGGACGTAGTCCTTCATGTCCCAAGTCACAAAGATATTCTCCTTGTCCTTCTATTAAGTTTATAGTTTAAACTTTCATGTTTATGCCATTAAGCCATCTGGAGTTTATCTCTGCTTGTGCTATTATTAAGTAGGGATCTCCATATAATTAACTGCTTTCTAAGCACCAATTAACAAATAATTCAGTGTTTTCTTATTGGTTGATGGTATTGCTTTTATTGTATATTATGTTCTTAAATAGACTTGGGTATATTCTGGGCACTGTCTCTTATTCCATTGATCTATTCATAAATCATTGCTATATTACATTTAATTACTTGGTATTTATTACTTAATATCACTTAGTTCTTGGTATACAGGCATTTGCCAGTGGAAGATGTGCTGCCTCAGGAAGCCCCTCAGTAGAAAGGATTCTGTCCTCATTTTGTAAAGGGGTCCTTCTCTCAGATACCAGACCCTGCAACACCTTTGAGGCACCTTCTCATAGACCTGGAGGCTGGTCTGAACAAGTGCTGACTTCCGGTCGGAAGGCTGAACCAGAGGAGTAGCCACCACGTGGGGAGCCCCAGGATTAGCTCTGTTCTGCTCTTACAGAGAATCTGTTGGGACAGCCTGGAGGTGACCCTGCTCCTGTGTGCTGACTGGGGGGGTTGAGGGTGTGTGAACCTGGATCAGAGCACTGGAACCTCGATCCTTGCGTTACCATAGTCTGATGCTCTTCTTTTTAGGGAATCTCTTTTCATCCAGAGTGTTCTTCATCTTTGGCCTCTGCAAATTCCCTATTGAAAGCATCAGAATGTAAATGTGCTTTCAAAATGCTTAAGTGCTTCTTTAATGCTTTTTTTCACTAATGCATAGATTTTCTTAAGTTATTGAAATTTCTTTCAGTCAGTAGAATCTTCAGCCATTTATAAATTTTTCATTCACAGAATATAAGCTGATTTTGATAATAGATTATTCTTTCAAAATTTTGGGGACACTGTTGTTCGGTGTTTATAAGTTTATAATTGTTATCTTCCTGATGAATTGACCTTTTTTCATTATAAAATATCCTCCTCTGTCTCTCAGGGTTTATTTGGCGTTAGTATAGGCTCTTTATCTACTGGCTACTGTTTGCATGGGATATTTTTAATTTGAACCTAAAATGTGTATCTTGTAGACAGTATTTATAGTTGGATGGTTTAAAAAATCCATTCCGTCCATTACTTAACTGCAGTTACCAATAGGGTGGGACTTATTTCTAACATATTGCTATGTTTTCTATATTATCTTTTTCTTTGCATTTTCTTTTTCTATTACTGCCATCTTTTGTGTTAAGTAGATATTTTATAATGTGCCAATTTAACTTCCCTTAATGTTTCATTTTGTGTGTACATTTTAATTTATTTCCTTAGTGATTATCTTGGGGATTACAATTTACATCTTCATTTTAATAATCTAGTTTAAATTAATA